ATATATATATATATTTGTGTATGTCTAAGTGCACTACATAACAAACTAACAGCTGTTACTGTAATACATCTAATTCATTTACAAACATTGTGGTTTGGTTGGGGTGTTGATTCTTCTCATCAATTTAATGGTAGGCCCAGCATAGCAAATTTCTGCAGGGCAATATAAACTGACAAATTTGATTCTCTTGAATCTATACAGGAAAGTTACTTTCTTAAATACAATTGAAAAACCACCCTAGAAATTGTCTTTTGCTTGGCGGATGAGGCCCAATACTTCAGCATCGCTGGCAGAAGCTGGAATGCCTAGGCTGCGTCTAATTTCTGCACTGCTTGTTCTCAAAAATGGGTTGCAATGCTTCTCCAACTTCAGTGTTGTTGGGATCTAGCACAACAAAGAAAAACTTTTGATGGTAAATTTAAATAAAAATAATAATAATAATAATAATATTATTATTATTATTATTATTAATTGCCTATGACATGAAGAAATAAGGCCTCTGCAGGTAAGAAAAATGCATATTTTTCAAATATTTTTTTCTTGAGAACTTTAGGAGGTTACCGTTGGAAGGTTCTTATAGCGGAGCTGAGCGATCTGAGAAGCATACTCAGCTAGTTCCTTATTTTTGGGTTCTATGGACAATGCAAACTTGGAATTACTCTGTTCATAAATTACCAAAATGAAAAATCTCTGAGCGTTGACTGTAAGTTTTCGTCCAAATATAAGGCCAAAATTATCATCAGGCGAGAATATTATACCAGAGTATACTCATGTCCACAGTATATAGCCGTATCATCTGGCAAGGCCATGATTTTTTGAAGTGAAGCAAGCATCTGAAACAAAAGCATGAAGCGTTCTAAGAAAAAAATTCACTGTATGCAGATGAATAACTTCCATCATGATGGCTCATGCAGTCCACATGACCTAACAGTATAGTTTTTTCGTCTCCAACTATAATATCTTATGTTCAAGACAAAACGTTCTGGTGTGTATGATTTTAAAAAATAATAACAAAAAAAAAAAAAAATCCATCATAACAGCCATATTATGTAGATACATCATCTCAGACATGTATTCTTTGTGTGCTTTCACTTTGAAAACAAAACAAACGAAAAAAATATCAAAAACAAATGAGAAAAATATCAAAATAGTCATCTGACTTTTTCTAGGAGTTTATTTTAGCCTCAGAGTTTTAAGAAGTGCTACTTTAGTCCCAAGCTTATTTTAATTGGGGCTAAAATAGCATCCATAGGTAATACACATATTAAAAGAGTTTAGAGACAAATTAAACACTCTTACAAATAGTGGGACTAAAACAACCTCACGTAAATAATCACCATTTAATTTTACACTTTACTAAAAAACAAGATATGTATCAAGATTGCATTGATTTTCTAACAAACAAAGAAGAGAAGGTGGCTATTAAAATACTACAGCCAATGAAACATAATTATCAATCTAATGCAATTCTGACCATAGAAGAAATTCCATTATAATGACTATAAAAACACATGAATCCAACTGAACGAATTATTTCTAATCATACATTATTCAGATAGAAGTGGTACTAGAAATGATGTAAATGTGATTATAAATAATTGTTTCAAAGATAAATGTTGTAAAAATTAATAAAATTGAAAATAGAATTAAAGCTTTAAAAATTGTTGTTGATGCTAAAATTTATAATGTTATAAGTGCTTATATTTCTCAAGTAGATTTGGATAATATATTAAAAAAAATTATAGAATGACATAGAGAAATTAATTAAAATGATACATCTTGAAAAATAAATTTTGGAGAAGATTTAAATGGTTGCATTGATAGAGTGGTGGGAGATTTTAGAAATATTCATGGTGGTTATGATTTTGAAGTGATTAATGAAGAATGTGAAGTCATATTGGATTTTTATTCAGCTTAAGATTTTGTCATTGCTATTTTATTTAAGGAAATATATGAGTATATTATCATTTATAAGAATTGATCTAATAAAACACATTGATTATTTTTTTATGAGATCAATAGATCATCGATATTATAGAGATTATACTGTCATTTAAAGTAAAAATTTAAGTACCCAATACGATTATTGGTTTTGAATTTTTCGATTATGGTTTTGAATTTTAAGATTAAAGGTTGGAATATGAAAAATTAAACAAAATGTTATCATCAAATTAGATGGAAGCACTTAAAAGACAACAACAACAAGAACAAGCATCTATCTCACTAAGTGAGGCCGACTATATGAATTCCTTTTTCTCCATTGTCCCATTGAGTGTCACATTTTCATTTAACTCTAATAGATTAAAATCATTATTTATACAATATACCCAAAGTTTTTTTAAATTTACCTCTGCCTTTTTTAACATAGTCGAATCTATGACATCTACTATTCTAATAGGATCAACAAATGGACTTAAGATGTTTAAGATGGGGGCACTAAAAGACAATTATACATATAAGTGAAATTCAAAATTTTAAAATTTGAGATCTTCATGAAGAAACTAATACTATTGAGATAAAATAATGAGTGCCATTAAGCAAGTTATAAAAGATGTGTTTTAAGAATCAAAATGAAAATCTCTTATGAATAAAAAAAGTTCGTGGTGGAACAATAATGTGCAAGAAAGTTAAAAATTAAAAAGTTTTGTTATAAAAGTTAATTTAGATTTAAAAGTTTGAAGAATTCAAAAAAAAATATAAAGTGACCCATATGGAAGCTAATAGAAAAATTTTTTATGCTAAAAATTTTATTTTTAAAAATCTTTATATTAGATTAAAAGCTAAAAAGGGTGAAAAATATATATATAAACTAGCCAAATAAAGAGATAAAGAAAAATAATGTTTTAGTTCCAGTAGAGTATGTTATGATGAAAATCAAAAAAATGATTTTTTTAAATGAGGATATTCAATATAGATGTGTGAGATATTTTGATAAACTTTACAATGAAAATTGTGAAAATATGATCAACTAGTGACCTCAATATCATAAAAAATAAAAAAAACTTTTTATTTCTATTATCGCATTAATAAAATGAAAGTTGACGAGACTTTAAAGAACAGTGTGAAAAAGTAGTAAATGGAAAAATATGATGTGATCGTATTCCAATATAAGTGTGAACATGTTTAGGAGATCTAAGAATTTTTTCGTTTCCTAAACTTTTTAATATTATCTTAAAAATTAAAAAGATGTCTGATGAGTGAAGAAAGTATTGGTTCCTATTTTTAAGAATGAAAGAGAAGCATAAATAAATGTGCAAATTAAAGAGGAATTAAGGAGTTGTTTGGGGAGGCGGTAACATCACGTTATGCGATTTGAGAACGCGGTCTGGTGTTTGGTTGCAACGTTCTCCCTGTGTTTTCAGATACACGCGGTCCGGCTCCTTTAATAAAATTGAAGGATTGCGACTGCGGAATCAACCTCGTGGCCCGCGTTCCTTCAGAGTGTATTACCACTGAGCCTCTCGATCCCTCTCCCGATCATGCATCCTTCCCCTAGCTATGTGATCGATCTCCGTGATCGAACTCCCTCACCCGCCTCTCTGTCGTATGCCCTTCTCCTCTCCCTTCTCACTCGGTGCTCCAGTTATTCTGTAAGCGCTCGTTCTCCCTCACTCGCGCCTCTCTCGCTTGCCCTTCTCCTCTCTATACTCACTCGATGCTCCAGTTACTGTAAGTGAATGTGTTTTGTTCCTCTGCATAATCCCCGTTTGTTGATGGATTCGTTGCTTACCACATATGATTTTTAACTCTCTTTGTTGGAATTTTTTGCGAGATGTTTTCTTCATGCGAGATATTTGGAATTTTTTGCAAGATTTTTGTCTCCTGATTCACAACTCAGCTAAAGAAAATTTGTTTTGGCTGGTCTGCTCGAATTGACACTTTCTTTTGTAATGGTGGTTGAACTTGTGACACTTGTTATGATGTTGAGGTTATTGCTAGTGTTGTGGGATTTTAGTGCTGGTGCCTGTGGTTCGTTGGTGAGCAGATGAAAGTCTCTTCAGGCTGGTCGATTTTAAAATTAATATTATTATAATTTCAATTGTAATTTTAATAATTTTCTTTTTTACTATGTTTAATAGTCATTGTTAAGTGAGGACACTTTCATATTTTTAATTTCTTATTTTGTATTAGTTTTTTACTTCTATAATATCAAATATATTGTCAAGACAGTTCTGTTACAAACAACATTACTTCACAGGGGGCAGAATTGTCATTTATCCACAAACAGCTAATGATCAGTTGTTTTCAAAAAGCTATCCCAAATAGCCAGCAAGCTTATTCGGATAAGCTACTGATCAGCAGCTTATCGAGAGTTTACCAGCAGATTATTCAATAAGATGTAGCTGCCCCAAACATACCCTAAATTAATGTACTATATATTAAAGTTATAGGAGAGAGTAATTGAACATAGGTGACGTGACACAAAAATTACTCAAAAGCAGTTTAGATTCAGACCAAGCAAGTCTATTATGATAGCTATGCATTTATTGAGGTTTGATCAGGAAGTACAAAGGGTATAAGGATGATTAAAATATGATTTTTCTTGATTTAAAGAAAAATCGTATGGCAAGGTTCCAAAAAAAAGTACTTTGGAGAGTACTAGAAAAGAAGTGCATTGATATTACGAATTCAAGTCATTAAAAAACTATATACTAAAGTTGTTACCTGTGTTCGAACATAAAGAGGATTAACCAAGTATTTTCCTACTTCAGTTAGATTACAATAAGGATTGGCTTTAAACTCATATCTTATTTCTCTATTTTTGGATGTTCTTACCTGAAATTTAAAAGAGGATGTACCTTCGTGTCTGCTTTTAGTTCATGATATCCTTCTCATGGATAAAAGTAGACAGATAGTTTAGGAAAAACTTGAATTATATATGTCAACTTTAGAGTCCAAAGACTTTCGTTTGAGCAGATCTAAAATTGAATAAATGGAATGTAATTTTAGTAATAGTAGAACTAGCGGCAGGGTTAAAAAAGTAAAGGTTTTAGATTTGACTTATGTTAAGAAGTATAGAGGTAGACCTAAAAAGACATGAGAATGAGTGAAAAGAGCATAACAATGCTTAAATATTTCATAGGGGATGTGTGCGGATGCTGAACCTTCCAAGATGAACAGGAATTCTGCAGAATGAAAAACAACCTGATCCGAGTTTCCCTCGAAAACTTTGCCACACGATAAGCTAAACAGAGTGTCCCCTGTAAATAATGCTCCACAACCTGGGAAGTAAAAGCTTATATGACCTGTTCATCAATTCCATGAACGATCAGTTAGTTCTTGGACATTTCACAGAAGTGAGTAGGCCATGAGCAGAATATCAGTTCTGTTGTGCTTTAAGTTTAAACTTATCAAAGACAAACAAGCCAGCTGTCTAAGAATACAGTTGTTGGAATGAAGTTGGCATAATTGCTTTAATTTCAAGAACATGAGATCATCAATAAAGCTAGCAAGTTGTTAGCACGATAATAGAGATGTATGTCCACATGCTCAAAACTGCTGACCAAAAGAAAGTTGAGAAAATGTTATGTTGCAAAACATCCGCCAACAAACTATGCTCTACTAGCAAACAAAGTTATTAATGGAATTAACAACAAAAACTAATGATTATAAGCGAACTAAATGACATGAAATATACAAAAGTAATAAAACAGTAATAAATGGTAATTAGAGTTCAGTGGCTGCAGCTACCAGTCAGTCCTAACATCAAAACCAGGTTAAGTTAAGGTGAATGAAAAATACATGTGCCATGGAAGCTTTAAGTGTAATTCAGTCAGCTCCAAGAGAAATTCAAGTTGAGCATAAACTAGCATTCCACACACTCCTTCAAAAATGGAGCAAACCATATCATGTAGAGGAGAGAGAGGGTGTGTCACTTTTGTGGAATTCTTTTTTAATATAGTTAAGAATGCTCTAAAATAAAGATATTAAGCAAAATCAATTTTAAAGGCTATCAAGATAAGGGCATTATCTTATCTTTATAAGCTTCACCCTGAATGATAGAAGGATTGCTATTATTAATTATCATCTCCATTATAGGTTTTCCAAAAATAGTAGCTTGTACTTATGTAAATTCCATCTTAAATTCCATTTGAAAAGGAATTTTTTGTATAGTATCTCCACCTCACTGAGAGGCAACGGGCCCTAAACATAGTATTTTTGTCCAAAATAGATCTATCTCTATCTCTTCCTCAAATTCTCCTACCCAAAGAAGGGAGGAAGCATTTCAAGTAGGCAAGCAAGGACAAGAAAAGTCAAGGAATAAGGAAATCAAATAACAGAAGATGCCATACTAATAAGAGTGTGAAGAAAGCCATCTACAGTAAAAATTCCCTCCAATCTAAGTAACACTAAATTAGTTCTGTTTTTGAATTAATTTATTCCTCTTCGGTGTAACTCTTTAGTCACCAGTCATACTTCTTCGATAAACATTAGTCATCTCTTTATTCAACTAACTTTTAACAAAATAAGGAGAACAAGTTCATGTTCCCTACTATAAGAGGCCGACAATAGAAATCCTACAAGTATCACTTCTCAATTTTACTTTGACTTTCATTCGGAACAGGGTTTACACTTCCATAAACTTGGTTAACCAGAAACTCTTTTGTGTTCCATGAATAAAGTGCAAATACTATTTGGCCATTGGACTATACCAAAACTTCTTTTTTGCATATGGGGTTGGAAAGAAAGGGTTGACATATTCATTCTCCACAATGGTAGATCCAACACAGTGGTTGACTCAAACTATTAACTTATACTGATGTCAAATTTTCATTCCGAGTCACTTCAGTACAGTTCGATCCACATATTACCTTTCCCCAAATAATCTCTAGCATTTTCTTTGATCCACATATTTTGAAGTTGTAGGGGTTCTATGGATTACCACCACACTTATTAATCTTCCTGTGAATCCAGCACTAGGCTGCCTTAAATTACACTAGACTTTCTTAAATCCTCCTGCAAAAAAAGCATCCACCTTAACAAAATTTCTGACAGCATATAAAAATTATCTCCACATTACATCCACATTCTATGGCATGACCAACCAACATACACAAAAACTAAGACATCAAGTTATCACTTTTCCATCTATCTTATCTTCAACTCGAAAAGATCAAAGTCACCAGGTTTCCAATTATAAACCTATCAGTTACAACAGCAAAATAAACCTTTTTTCACAATCCATTATTAATAGAAAAATATAAAATACAGCAATGGACCTACGGGTTATAAAAACAAGGCCAACTAAAGGTAGTGGTGCAGAAAGCATCTAATCATAGTAAAATACGACACAAAAATTACAGAAAAAATAATGGTAAGATCAAAGAAATGACTGTTTTATGATAAGTAGCTACGATGTTTGTGCTTACTTAACATTGTGGCATGCATCATTGAATTATATGCCATGTATGATAAAAGAGGTTAATTAGATAAAAAGGAATAAATATGGAAGAGTACAGAAAATGAAGTATTAAAACTACAACGACACGACCCGGTACTTCGAATTAACCAAGACGAGTACAGACGACGAAAAATGAAGTATTAAAACTACAACGACACGACCTGGTACTTCGAATTAACCAAGACGAGTACAGACGACGATCGGGAGATGAACATTATATTGGTTTTCTATACTCTCTATAACTAACATTTTAATAATGAAAGAGTCAATATATAAAAAAGTATAAAAATTAAAGTAATACATTAAAATTTACCTCATTTCTGGTTGACCGCGTCTCATATAAATATTTTCTCTTCTATAGCTCATTTTTTAATCAATTAACATTAACCTAAAATATTTATTTAAAACGTAATGGGCTAACCAAAGGCAGCAAACACTCACACTCTTAAACTAGAAAAACACAATAAAAAGGAATACAATATTTATGCAATTAAATTTTTAATAAACCAGTATAAATATATGACAATATATAAATATGATCACCCACGATATTTTATAATATTCAAACTATTTACTATATCAATAGCATGTCTATATCATTTTTTATTTATACAACCGTCACAGGAGCATCATCTCAAATTTATATCAATTAAGGTACTTTATTATCCATATTTTTTTTCATTTACATGCACGAGTATCTTAGCATTCCCACGAGTATCATAAAGAAGTGGCTCCATCATAGTGTAACATACACATGCAAGCAATCAAAATATTAAATCTCATTCCTATTTTTCTTTCCGTTTTGAGTGGCTTATTATAGGCTGAGGTAATAGAGTATAACACTTTTTGAGTAAAATAGTGAAATTTCAGGCCAGAGAGGCGAATCCAGACCGAAATGATTAGTGGTTTCGTCTGTATGTCAAAATTCACCGACCATTTCAAGATCTTCATTGCTCTGTTATCAATCCAGATTACTCTTTTAACAAATAAGCGTGCATAATCCTCTTCATTATTAGTTGAATAAGGATGTGTCTTCCATCTATAAGTCAAATTTTCCACTCCCAACAAAATGCATAAGCTCAAAATCCTTACAAATAAGCTCCATTTTGGGATGTCCATAATGAAATTTTCCAACCAAATTCAGATGACAGGAGGAAACAAGTTGATTACATTCAGCTTCTGTAAAAAAGATAGCAGGTTTCCTATTCTTCCTTCCAGGTTTCTTGATGTCCTCCGCCAACTCAAATGAAGAAGGAAAGAGCACGATTTAGGAGTACCTGAAGTGTGGTCACCCGCAAGTGTAGCAGCATACGTTCAGTCTAAGAACATCTCGAAGGTACGGTTTTAGGACAAAAGCTGAAGCCAACAAAAGAGGGCAGCAAAGAACAGAGCGGAGGAAACCCGTTCTTCCACAAGCATACACAACGAAAGGGACCAATTGAAGCAGACAAAACACAAGGAAGCAGGTGGACAAAGTAAAAGAAGGAGAAATCTCGAAGTCTTCGAGATAGACGAAGTCACGAAGTTAAAGCAGAAGAAATAACAAGATCGAAGCAGGTGAAGTCGATGCAGTCGAATTCGAACCAAACGAAGTCGAGTAGACGAAGCACAACAAAGGAGCAAGCTACGATCTCGATCCGGCGTAGAGATAACGAGGGTTACTCGGATCGTCATAAAGACGCGACGGGAGTAAACCCTAGCAGAGACATCGTCTATAAAAAACTGAGAAAGTAATAATATATTCATTATATATCATTATTATGAGCTGAGATGGCTTGATCGTACTTGCGACAGTATTTTTTGTGTTTGTATCTTCATCTTTGCAGCCTTTCTCATATGAGAAAAAAGAAAGAAGAATAAAGATAGAAGAATATTAAGCCTGAACACGATAAATGGAAATGCTTATTTACTCTTGTCATCATACTATAATTCATTGCATGACTTCTTCATAGACTAGTTAGATGGTACAATAGAAATTTTACATAGACATATTTGTCTTTTTACATGTATTATATACTAATATAACTCCTTTTTAGCACAGCCAAAAGCCCTAGACACACGGCTTCCATCAATGGCGAAAGCAAATAGCAGCTCTAGAGAGAAAGGAAAAAAGCCTGAAGGTTAATCAAAGGCGAAGCTAAGATCTAAACATGAGCTCTGGTTTTGAGAGATTCCAGAGTACCTTTTAGCCCCCTGCAAAATGATGATCTATAGCTTTAATCGTCAACTTAATTGTGAGATGTTAATATCATTTGATCACTAGTGTTTTTCATAAAACATCTACATGATGATCCTCAATCTTAAGATGTCCTCGATGTGTCCGCTTGAGGTTTGATGATCACTGATAAAATAGTAGTTCACTTCTATGTTTTGTTCGAGCATGAAAAATCGAATTGTGCGTTAAAGCAGTAACAGAGGTATTGTCGTTGTATAGTGTAGTTGGAGGTGCGGTTTGTTTGAATGTTCCTGCAGTATGCGTCTTAGCGATTATTGTTGTGATAGCAGCCAACAATCTGTATTCAGCCTCTTTGGAAGATCTAGCAACCGTGTGTTGTTTCTTTGGCAACCACAAGATGAGATTAGGTCCACTATAGATGCAAAATCTACATGTGGATTTTCTGTCAATGTTGTCACTAGCCCAGTGAGTATTTGCATATCCACTTAAATAGAGAGAAGCGGAAATAATAAGGCCATAGTTGTATATACATTTTAAATATCTGAGAATTCTTTAAGTTTTGATAATGCAGAATGGTTGAATTGTGCATGTGTTGGCTTATTTAATTTAAATTAAAAGAGATGTAGGTAGTGTGACAGTAAGATATAGATGCGACCCTACAATTTGTC